TTTTTGTCACACACATTAGAACTTCTCATAAAAGCTGCCTAATTTTAGAAATGGTTTTTAAAGTTGCCAAATGTTGGCAACACTGAACTAAATATTTCACAGTTAATGTAATTTGAGAACCTTTATACATAATCAAACTTGGTTTTATGTAAGCTAATACAGATTTGAAATGTAATATTGTCTCTCAACAAATAAGCCACTTCATGGTATGATTATTATGAATACTATTTAATATTTATTTCTATGTCAGACCACGTAATCAGAATGTTTAACAGCAAGAAAGACAACAACAAATAATGAATAAGAATAACTACGAGAATAGTGAGGATAATAATAGTAATAGAATATAGGATAAGGTTTTAGATAGGAAAAACTAGTTCAGAAAGTGTGTTCTCTGTGGAATGCGCAGGATATTCGCATGCGATCTCTGTTGTGTAACGTAACTTCAAAATAAAATAACATGAAAGTCCAAACTAACCTACAACCTTGATTTACCTAACCTCGTGTAAACCAACCAAACTTTTCCCATCCTAGTCAGGTAAAACTTAACTTAAAGAATTACCTAAAAATGTCTCACCTAATGTAATTTCACCAACTGAAAGTAAACAAGTTTATGTAACCTACATAAACTAAATCTAATTGAACCTACACTACCCTAACCTCTATCATATTTTGACCACAAAACATAGCCTCAACTAACCCAACCACATTCTTAATCTTCATAACTTTCCAAGTTTACATATTTCAAAATTTTTGAAACTCAACTTTCAAATCGCGGCAAAATCTTTGTTAAGGTATTAAACCTGTCTTCAGCTGTTATTGGCAAGTAATTTCGTATTGGAGACTGCCGATCAACAACGAGAAGCCTTGACGTTTTTCTATAACGCGACGTATTCTTGCTACAGAATTACTACGTAAAAAAGATTCAATATGAATGGCAGAAATGTCATTCACAGACAAGTATTTACATAAGCAATAACTGTTTTATTGGTTGTACTGAAAATCAGATTTTAATACTGTCTCAGTATCTTAAGGCAAACTGCTATAACTAACTGCATTCGTATACTTACACTGTTTACTTCATGTCTAATTTTAATATTTATTGAAAAATTAATCCAAGTCAATATGTTTCACTGGATTCGAAGGAAAGTAATAGGCGTGCTTTTAAAATTCTATCCGGTAAGTCCTGATTTTGATTGGCTCGTTTCGTTCCAAACCAAAAATTCTCAGCCATTATAATTACATGTAAGCAATAGTGTTGATCCTTTCATTTAATTATAATATTCTATGCCAGTGTAGTTGAATGTAATCAGTCATAACTATGCAATTTATATTTTTGAAAGAAAAGAGTTGTTTGAACAACGACATGTTCTACATCATTGGCTTTAAGCTAAAATCAAAGCTGCCCCAGTATACGTCATGTATGTGCTTGGGGGGGGAGAATTAATATAGCTCCTACTCATTCTTGACCTCAGCACTAGATGAGGATGAGTGGTTAGCATCACGCCTCGGCTGCGCTTTACCCCCCCCCCCCCCCCGACACCCTGGTGCCCATTGAATAGAAGGCTGGGTGGGCCCCAGCTATCAAATATTTACGAATTATAAATAAATTCTATTCTAACATTTGTTAGCTGTTTGGCTGTTTATAGAGCATGCTCTCACTGATGGTTCCGATGTCGTTAATGACGTATGAGAAACGTAAGGAAATATGCAGGAAATAATGCATTCATGTTATGAACTTCGTTACAAGGAAGAGTAAATCATAAATATCGTCGCTAGTTTTTAGCCTACCGATTAATTCACTATTTCCAATATCATTTCCTGAATGATATTTACTTCCTTCGTTTACACTACGTCCTGCATTTTTTGTGAATTTGTAGAATTGCGTTTTAAACAGTAATGTCATATTCAAATGCGTTTATCAGTACCCTCATAAACTCTTAACGTTGAAAGTAGTGATGAATAAATTGTGCACGTACTGCTTTCGTATTGAAGTGCGTGTTTGCCTTACTTGTCGATAGGTGGCAGAAGGGTCGCAAACGGAAACTGATTGTCGACGCCCAGTGGTCTGTTGTAAGTTGTGAATTTTCGTTATCTGTTTAGAGATTCTCTCATATTTAGGCAATAAATGTGTATCTGTTTGCAAGAGTAATGGTTCCTATATGCTTCTGGGACTACCATAATGTTTTTGATTGATACAGTGGTTGGTGCTATCTATGTGAACAAAGTACAAGCCGGACTTTGGTGAAGTCTAAGCCAAGATGGCTTCCCCGTAATCTGGTGTATCTCTGAACCTCTTACACATTAAATCCTTTGCACTCTAAAATTATATTGATTCCTGAAATAGTAAGGAACCTACAGAAGTCAGTGTTCTTTATATGTTTGAAATATAACTAACCTTCTGTTTGGAGTCGCAGGTGTGTGGCCCATTAATCGGGAAGATTAACATGTGTATTTAAGCACTTTACATGTTAATTGAAGTTACAAATTAAGATATTTATCATTTTAACACATTGTATTAGTAACTTCCTTACGGGTAGGCATTGCAATTAATGATGAGATAATTTGACTCAACACGTCACATTGGTCAGCCAAACGTATTGAGGTTATGAGTCCTTCATAGAATATTTTGAGTTATATACATTAAGACTTTAAGGAAGTATATGAATTGAAATATTAAATGTTGTGAATCTTACAGTGAGTGGTAGAGTTTTGTGTTCATGGATGTGGTAGTTCATTTGCAATGCCATAAAGAATTTTCTTTATAGTTAAACAGATTGTGTTTGTAACAGTATTTTATGGTATACATTATGTATTAGGAATGCTGGTTGCGTTTCCTATGTGATGCATGTCATTAGTGGCAGTTGAGCCCTACCTAGACAGTAGTTATTTAGGGCTTTGTTATCTTCTGTATTCGGAAAAATGCAGGTGGCTTATGTCAGCATGTATTGAAGAAAATAAGTTAGTAATACTAATTGCAAGCATTGCTCTGTATTAAATAATTTTGAATTCTGGCTGAAGTACAACACATTTAAAGTTTGTCTCAAAGTTTTGTCTTTGTCTGCAGTAGTACTAAAATTTTCTGTTGGAGAATTAACATCATACCACTGTGTACGAAACTTAGCCATATAGAGAAATGTGATTCAGAATGACTGATAGGGAATTAGTGGAACTGTATGAAGGTTGTGAATGTTTTTTGTATGGCACCGGCGACTTAGAAACTACAGAGATGTATTGGAATTTTCCTCCCTGCACAGATTAGTAGATTTACTTGTTCATGAAATTTATGTTGTGGTAGATTGACCACCATCGACAAGAACCACTAGATAGTGAGGTTAGAGCGTGTGGTTCAGGCTGTGTAAATTATTCTCATAAGGATTTTGCTATAAGTTGTATAATGATTCATTTCTGTTAGCCTCTTCAGAGAGTTTAAAGTATTAAAAGAAAAATTGTCACTGGTTAATATTGTTGATTTTTATATGAAGGCATTCCATTGAATTCCGTAAATAATATGTAATTATGATTATTACCTTCAACACACTTGATTAAAATCTTAAAAATAAAAGTTTATTAGTGATAACATGTTTCAATATTAAAATACTGTTTTGATGCCAACTAATGCACCAACTGTGTGCTTAAGATTGATATAAAATTTAAATAAAATGATATTTATATAGTAAAAAGCAACAATTGTTACAAATGGATGTCTTTGGTACAGTGTTTTTTTATATTGACTGTGTGTGTTGAACCAGTTTTATAAAAATTTTATGTGGGCCACAAGAGGGCATTTTATTGGAGACTATGAAGTTTGTTGAGTGCACAAAACATTGTTGCTTAAAGGTGATCTAAGCTGGAGTGTGGGGTGTATGTAATTACAGTTTGAATTATGATGTTATCTGTGTAATTGTAATTGAGGTAAGTAGAATTAATTAATTGCTTATGTGAATGTGGTGTTGATGAGTGACAGTTTTGTGATGTGCTGTTTGATGTGTGTGCGTGCACATACGAGGGGCAGTCAAAAAGTTCCCAGAATTGTGGTATAGCACTGTAATGGTAGGACATATGGCAACGCTTACCTAATCACCTTCAAAGCAGGACCCTTGCGCACACACACACACTTGCTCCATCGATCCTGCCATTGTTGGAAGCACCGGCGGAAGGCTTCGTTTGGAATCTTCTGGAGTTCGGCCGTCAAATTCGACACATCGCTGGTTGTGCAGCAATTCCTCGCCGAGAAAAGCACTCCCGTCATCACCCAACCACCATACTCTCTGGATCTCGCTCCGAGTGACTTCTGGCTGTTCCCTACTCTGAAAATGGGCATCAAGGGGATGCATTTCGCAACCATGGAGGACATCAAATCGAATGCATCACAAACATACTGAGGTGACATAAAGAAGAGAGAATGCTAAACCAACTTTCAATGTTTTGGTTTCTTCAGTTACCGTACTCAGACAACAGTTATACTTTGGGTTAGTTGTGAAAGGGTTAACACAGACTAACATGTTGGGAAATTTGAATTCCTGTGTTCACTCTCCTGATGTGGGATGCTGCACTTAGTGGTGTGCACAGAACGTTTCCAGTTTGTGAGTGATTTCAAAAATAGTTTTTTTATTTTTGGCATATGTGTAATTTAAATTGCTTATATTGATTCTTTTACTTTTGTAAATGCGGTACCTTTCTAAAGTATTCGTGTGCTGACCTGTTTTCCTAATTCAAATTATTATGTTACTCTTCTTCCTTGGCTCTACAACCTAGTTGTGGATCTTTGCCACCTCCTGTTTCAGAGGATTCTTGGTCATGAAGTGTGCATTTATGAGTAGTGAGTGACCAGCCCACTGACTGCACAATTTCTACTCAATCCTTATCTTTGTCTGCTAGAGCCTTCTAGTAGTGAATTAGGAGAGACTTGGGTGAGAAATGGCCACCAATTTCTGCTCACGAGGTTCTTTTACATGCCATAACAATCAATGACATGTGACCGCCAGCGTTACTTCCCCTCCAAAGGAAGTCGTGCTACAGATTTTATGACGTAAATATGTCTGTATTTTAGGGTCTGTGTTATTCGGCAAAAATGTGTTACAAAAAAGTGTTACGAAAAAGTGTTACGAAAAAGGGAAACGAAAAAGTGTAACTTCATTGTTATGTTACTTAGGAAACCTCATCTGTTTAGTCAGCATTGTTGTTACCTAGGAAACAATATACGAGGCGCGTCCCAAAAGTAAGTTTCCCTGGGGCCGTTTACAGAAACAAAACACAATTTCATGGAAATATTTATTGCAACAGATACAGCAAGTGTCCAGCTATTTTTCAACATATTCGCCACCGGAATTGAGACATTTGTCATACCGTGGGACCAACTTTTGAATACCTGGG